CATTGCTCCTGTAGTTGTAGAAGAATAACTGGAGGAAAAATACCAGCTTAGGGTGGCGTCTGTGGCTCAGTGAGTAGGGTGCTGGCCCCATATACCAAGGGTGGCAGATTTGAACCCAGACCCGGCCAAACTGCAACAACAACAAAAAATAGCTGGGCATTGTGGCGGGTGCCTATAGTCCCAGTTATTTGGGAGGCTGAGGCAAGAGACTTGCCTAAGCCCAAGAGCTGGAGGTTGCTGTGAGCTGTGACACCACAGCACTCTACCAAGGGCGACAAAGTGAGATTCTGTCTCTAAACAAAAAAAAAAAGAAAGAAAAGAAAAGAATTAAGCCTCAGCCAATAATTGACCCAACCCTATGCCCTCTAGGGCCCAGCAAGCCGACAATGTCCGTGGTCACTCACTACATATCTGAGGTGGAACTAGGTGTGGGCTGCAGGTACAAATTCTGGTAGTTCTGGAAGAGGCTGTTGGTGTAACTGATGCACTCAGGACTCCGGGTGCCATAGGGGTTGGTGGGTGAAGATGCTGGGTAGTGGCCAGGCCGGACAGGTTTGGCTGTGATAAGGAAATGAAAGAACCATGAGGAAGCTGTTACCCTGCGGATGCCTGGGTCCCTGAGGCCATTCATCTGGAGTTGAACTGAGTTGCCTATAAGATAATTTAGTTATTTTTTAACTTTTTTACAGAGGGGAGGGGTGTTGATGGTGAGGCTGGGTAAAAAGCATAATCTAGTTGGCACTTGGGAACTTGCTGAATTTGCTCCAGGAGAGAGTCCCGCCTGCCCACCAAGATGCACTCACCAATCTGGGCGGTGTGGCCCCGCTTGCCCGAGCCCTTGTAGCGGACGGCCTCCTTGATGCGATCCACCTCCTGCTGGTACCGCCGCTTGTCCTTCATGGCGCCCTCCTTGGCTTCCTTCAGTGCACCCTCCAGGGCCTTAACTCTCTCAGCCGTAGCCCTAAGTCGTTTTTCCAATTTAGGAAGCTCACAACGCAGATCTGCATTGTCACGTACCAGCTGCAGGGCAAGCCGGGAACAAGCCGAAAGAAAGCAAGGCAAGGGACCCAAGACGGTCACCCAGTGGAGTATGAGAGAAAGGAATATGAGAGAAAGGAGTGAGGAGAGAGAATAAAGAAAAATCAAGAGTCAGAGAAGACCAGGGCCACGTTATTTCCCCGAAAGGCCTCATTCCCTTTATGTAATGTGCGTTCTGTCCACTTTTTCCTTCTCCCTGAACGAAAAGTGGTCAGGCATGAAAAAAGTTAACATAATTGTTTCCAGGCAGCAAAACCTGCCATTCCCACAGTAGCCCACAACCCTTGTGTCAGCATCCTGTCCCAGTCTCCATCTGGCCCAGATACTCCCCTCCCCTATATCCCCCAGCTTGTGCCACACCAATAGCCCTAGGGCAACCTTGGGGATGAGGTACCCCTTCCCCACAGGGCACACTGTGGGCATGCACAGGGCAGGGCACAAGGGCACACAGCACTGTGGAGGGTGCACGGCCCTGAGAAAGAGCACTGCCAGGTGCTAGAACTCAGGGAGCCCCCCACATATACACATAGACACACAGGGCCCTACAGGAAGGAAAGAAAATGTTTGAGGTCTCACAAATCAGTGCTCATTACCTTCATATTTAAGTTAAGCTAGAGAATGGTAGCGGCCACTTTACAGCCAGAAAAGACTTCCTAATCCTTTGGGTTTCCTGCAAGGACTGAGGACAGCATAGATTGAAAAGGGAGCAGGGCCTCAATTAAAAAAAAAAAAAAAAGACAGCAGGTAAACGGGTACAGCAGGGAACACAGGCTGGGGGGGCGAGGGGCAGAGCTGACCCCTCCCCGGCAGCTTTTCTTTGGCCAGTTTATAGATGATAAGCAATGGTTTGTGTGACAAGAGCTTAGCTTAGTTGGTAACAAGGCTGTAGCCCTCCCTGGCTGGTAAGATTCTGTTAACTGAGAAATTTTTCTCTTTCCTTTTCAGTCTTATCTCTGCTAAGGTAGGAAATTGTGAGTCTTCTATTTATCCTATAAGTGTAGTTTGGGGTCTTTGGGACTTAGAACAGAGGTAGAGAGGCTTCAGTGAGGGAAAAGGAAACAGCACATAGTGGTGGTGGGTTTTAATAAAGCAATGGATATGCATTTGGACACAGGGAGAGTGGAAACAGGAATGGAAAAAGAATAGTGGAATTGATTATGTGTGTCCTGTCTTTCAACCTTTCTACAATGTTGTTACTTTGTTTCATAATAAACAAAGGAAAACAAATGGTGATAAAACCCTTTGCAGACCCAAATAAAATAAATGGATCCTGGTTAGCACTGAGCAACAGGTTTGGGATTCATTACAAAAAAAGAAATGTATTGAGTGTTTACTCTATAGACTGGGCTGGGATTGCACTGAGAGAAGTTTAAGTTCTAGGCAAGTGAGAACATGAGTTAAAATGGAATTTTACGGTAGAGTTGAAAGGAAGGGCTGAAGTCTAGGTTAGGGTTTCTTTTATCAATCAATTAGGAGCCAGCTAACAAATTGTTGAGCCTTACAAGGCTCAGATATTTGACACTGGGAGAGTGGTCCTACTCTGCGCACACCTGTCCTCATTCCTCTGCACTGCCCTTCTGCATCCCCACCCCATACCTTTGAAACCCCTTCATCCACCTAAGGAATGCAGTGGCAAGGAGAGGGACAGAGAGGCAGCAACTTCACACAAGGGAGTTGGTACTGGCCCCAGGCAAGGGCTGGTTCGGCCATCTTGAGGACTTCACTGAATGTCTTCGCATGCCTGCCCCAAGCCTTGGCAAATGCGGTTCTCCCCACAAGAGACCCCAATTCCCTTGCTTCTTTGTGTCTCCCTGCCTGCCATCTCTTGCTAAGGTCTGACCAGCTCCCTCCTGTATAGATACATTCTCACACCTCTTTGACCTCTGTGAGTTTCAACCCCTCCCTCCAAGGCAGGCCTGGGAAAGTCCACTTTGAAGTGAGTTAGAGACTTTGAGAAGGGAAAACAGGCATGAAACAAAGAACAAAGGAAAAGTGGGACCAAATGTTGTTTAAATATGGGACTAGTAGGGAAAGAAAAAGAGAACGGTAAAAAAAAAATCATGCAACTAGATTTTCCTGAATGCAAGGGGCCACCAAGAATTGGGATATCCTAAGTATCTGGCCTCAAATGTTCCCTTCCAACCAGCAGATGAACAAATATACACCCACACAAGAGAAAAACTCAATTAAACTCAAGTGGGGAGATGGGGAGGGAGGAGCTGGGTGTACTTGATCTAATGGGCACAATGTAAGGATACATGGCACACACCAGGGACTCTACCTAACAAATGCAAATGATATAACCTAATCATCTGTGCCCTCATAGTAATCTGAATTTTAAAAATAAATAAAATACATTTTTAAAAAGTTCCCTTCACCTCTTTCCAGACTCTTACCTGTTTGTGAACCTTTGTAAGCTGTTCCAGGTTGTTCTCAAGAAAGGAAATCTTTTGCTTTTGGGAGTGAATCCCCCCACTGTCCTCGGGCTCCATCTCTGCACTCTGATTGGAAATGGAGGGGAAGATGTGACTGTTCTAAGGCCAAACAGGTCTCACCCAGACCAGGCCAAGCCAGCCTCACTGGGGGTAGCAGAGGCTGGAAAAACACAAGGATGGGAGGAGAACTGGGGGCTGGTGCAACCCTGGGAATGACACCTACTTTCTTGACTCGAGTCGTGACGTCTTGAACGAACAGCTTGCGAAGGTTGTGGAGGGTCTGGAGTTCACGGGCCTAGAAAGAATAATGGGAAATTGAGGACAGCCAGAGACCTGGTCAACCTTCTGTCCACAAAGTAATTAGGACCTTCAGTCTCTATACCCAAGTGAGTCGCTCATCCTTTAGGGAAACAAAAGTGTCCTGATTATGTCGTGGCCTGACTGCAGAAGGGCAGAAAGAAATGAAGCCCCCTCAGCCCTGTTAACCCGGCCCAGAGCACCACTCACAACTGTCTCCTCCAGACCCTTGAGGTCCTGCTTGGACTGCTCATGTCGTTCGTACAGAAATCTGTGGCAAGAGAAAGGAGAATGTGGGAAACAAAAATCCTTCAGGACCCCCCTTCCTCTCCCTCTTCCTCCATTTTTTAACTCTATTTTATTATTATTTGTTATACAAGTTGCTCATGTTTATTGTGCTAAAGGTAGAAAAAGATTTAAGAAGACAAAGTAAGTTATTTTTTCTTTGGAGACAGAGTCTCACTTTGTCACCCTCAATAGACTACTGTGGCGGCATAGCTCACAGCAACCACAAACTCTTGGGCTCAGCAATCCCTTTGCCTCATGCCTCCCAAGTAGCTGGGAATACAGGTGCCTGCCACAATGCTCAGATACTTTGTTTTAGAGACAGGGTCTCTTACTTGCTCAGGCTGCTCTCAAATTCCTGAGCTCAACCAATCCACCTGCCTTGGCCTCCCAGAGTGTTAGGATTACAGGTGTGAGCCACTAAGCTGCGCCATAAAGTGAATTTTTATAAAAAGTGATGACTCTACTACTTACAGATCAAACCACCATTATTACCCTTCTGGTGTCCATCTTTCCAGACTTTTAAAAAATACACATGTATACCCACATATGAATTTTCTTGGGGTCATACCATTCATGCCTTTGTAGCCTGCCTTCTACACATAACAGAATGTCACAAACATCTTTCCGCATCAACTAATACTCAGCAGCAGTCACTGCAGATTGCTTCCTTTTTTCCCCTTCCTGACACACAGTATTTGCCTCCTGTGAGTCATTACATCATAGCCACATGTGTGTCCTGCCTATGTAACTGTGTCCCAGCAGTGGCTCCGAGCCTGCGTGGCCGCGGGCTCGCCCAGTCACTCACGTCAGCTCCTGCAGCTTGGTGCTCTTCTCATGCTCTTCATTCTTCAGCTTCTCGTAGTCAGCCTGAAGCTTCTCCAACTCTAACTGCAGCTTCTGATTCAGGCTACAGAGGGGCAGGAGGTGTGGGAGAGGGAGGGAAAAAGAGAAGTTAATGGGGGAAAGGGAAGATCAGCTCCTCCAACTTTTCCCCTCTTCTGTAGAGCGGGGCCAGCTAGAACTCGTGTGTCTACCTTCAGACACCAGGGCAGACTCAGGCCACTGTTTCTGTGACAGAGGAAGGATCCCTGAGCTCTCCAGTCATAAAAGCCTCTAGGATAGGAACTAGTCCTTATTCCTTGTATCTGCTCGAGGTGGGATGCAAAGCTGTGACATTGTTTTTTTGTTTAGTTTTGTTTTGTTTTAACACAGTCTCACTTTGTTGCTCTTGGTACAGTGCCAAGCATCATAGCTCACAGCAACCTCAAACTCCTGGGCTCAAGTGATTCTCTTACCTCAGCCTTCTGAGTAGCTGGGACTATGACTAAAGGTGCCTGCCACAGTGCCCAGCTATTTTTAGAGACAGGGTCTCGCTCTTGCTTAGGCTGGTCTCAAACCTGTGAGCTTAGACAATCCACCTGCCTCGGCCTCCCAGAGTGCTAGGATTACAGTTGTGAGCCTCCACACCTGGCACCAAGTGGTGGCATTGTTGAGGAAATGACACATGAAGTTAAAACAATCAGACCCAGAAGGACCATGTGTGCGGGCACAGTGAGGTGAGAGGGACAGTGGGGACCAGAGCTGCCCTTACTCTTTGAGCTCATCGATGGTCTTCTGCTTCTCATTGATCTCATCACGGAGCCGGGCCAGCTGCCGGTGATGGGCTTCCCGGTGACTCTCCATCTGCAGCTCCAGGGCCTTCTGCAAACAACCCCACCCCAAGCTTAAAGCCAGACTCCCAGCCGGGAGCTCCGTGAGGACCAGCCCAGCCCTTGCCCTGCCAGGCCCATGTTGCCCACCTACACCTCTCCCACTTGCCTTCACTTCATCTGCATCCTGTGTGTCTGGCTCCTTGTCCTTCAGAGCCACCTCGTGCACAGTTTCTAAGGAGAAGAGAAGACAGCTTACATCAAATCTATTTTTTTCAGAAAGAGCTTTGTGCTATGATCAGAGCTCTAGGCAGGGCAGGGGATGGGCCCACAGGGATGTTCTTCTGAGTTAGGACAGTCCAATTTGATACAGCAGAGACAGAGAACATCAGAGGGTATATGGTTCACATACAATGAGCTACACACAAAAGCCTGGCTAGATAGCAGGTGAACTGGTGTCTGTGAGTTCAGGTTAATGCTTTGGACGAGTAACTATTCAGTGATTTCCACTGATGAGTTTTTTTTGTTGAGACAGAGTTCTACCCTAAGCTCTGAGCAGAGTACAATGGTGTCATAGCTCACTGCAACCTCAGACTCAGGCTGTGGGCATCCTGCTGCCTCAGCCTCCAAAGCCACTAGGATTACAGGTGCTCACCACAGCCCCTGGCTGTGTTTTTCCATTTTTTTTATGAGTCGGGGTCTCACTCTCACTCAGACAAACCTCAAACTCCTGAGCTCAAGCAATCCACTTACCTCAGCCTCCCAGAGTGCTGGGATTAAAGGCACGAGCCACCACACCCGGCCCAACACACTTGTGAGTTTTGCTTGTTTGTTTGTTTGTTTGAGACAGAGTCTCACTGTGTTGCCCTCAGTAAAGTGCTCTGGCATCACAGCTCACAGCAACCTCAAACTCTTGGGCTTAAGCGATTCTCTTGTCTCAGCCTCCCAGGTAGCTGGGACTATAGGCACCTGTCATAATGTCCAGCTATTTTTTGTTGCAGTTGTCATTGTTGGTTAACTGGCCCGGGCAGGTTTCCAACGCACCAGCCTCACTGTATGTGGCTGGCACCATAACCACTGTGCTATGGGCACCGAGCCTCCATTGATGTTTATGACTTATCCACCCTTCCCCTCTGGAACCTCAGAGCCCAGGATGAGCGGGATAGAGTATAAGGAAGCCTCACCCTGGGCCTGGAGCTTGGCCAGCTCATCACTCAGGGAGTCATAAGACTCTTCCAGGTGCCGCTTCTTAAGCTCCACACTCTGCATGTATTCCGTGAGCGAGCGGATCTTGGCCTCGTGCTGGTGGGAGATGTTTGGTGAGATGAAGAAAGTGGATGAAGCAAAGTCCACAAGTCCAGACAGCAAAGACCTCCAAAAACTCCAGCTCTTCTCCTGAGCCCTCCTCCCAGCTGCACGTCCCACAAGAGCTGGGGGCTGTTCCTCTGGAGGCTCTTCCTTTAGAGCCCCATCAGCTCAGAGTGCAGCACCCCTGAGCCTTCACTTCTCTGGCCTGGGTTCCCCACTTCCCACCACCCCACTTCTTCTGTCCTTTATTTCAGTGGACCCAAGGGCTGTAACGTAAAGGCAGGTATTAGGAGATTCATCTGTAACCCCAGAGGAGCCCTCTTTCATCCATGGCACCAAAAGACTCTTGACTTAGCCACTCACCTGGGAGATGAGGAGTTGGCAGGATGAGAGCTCCCTCCCTGTCACTTCCATCTTGCGATGACATTCCACCTGGAGGTTCTCCAGCTGCCGGCAACGCTTGACCACAGACTTGACTTCTGACTTGATTTTGCTAATATAGAGTCGGGCCACAGTGAACTCCTCCTCGATGGCCCCACTGATCTCCACTGGCTGAGGAGGGGCAAAGGAGGAAGGGATGCTTCTCAGCTGTGGGGAGACCATTACCCATTCCTTCCCACCTGCAACTGCCCCTGTACACACCCACATGCACGGGGACCCAAATAGGGCAGGTATTTTGTGAACAACCTCCAGTTGCTACCACCTAAAATTTCATATTAAATCCCTGTCTGCATTTATTTATTTAAATTATTATCTTTTTTTTTTTTTTTTGAGACAGAGCCTCAAGCTATCCCCCTGGGTAGAGTGCTGTGGCATCTCAGCTCACAGCAACCTCTAACTCCTGGGCTCAAGCGAGCCATCTGCCTCAGCCTCCCAAGTAGCTGGGACCACAGGCGCTCGCCACAACACCCAGCTATTTTTTGGTTGCAGCCGGCACTGTTGGTTGGCGGGCCCAGGCTGGATTCGAACCCGCCACCTTAGGTGTATGTGGCTGGCACCTTAGCTGCTTGAGCCACAGGCGCCGAGCCATTATCATTATTTTTGAGACAGAGTCTCACATTGTTGCCCTCTGTAGAGTGGCATCACAGCTCACAGCAACCTTAAACTCTTGGGTTCAGTGATGCTCTTGCCTCAGCCCCCCAAATAGCTGGGACCACAGGTGCCCCAAACAATGCCCAGCTATTTTTAGAGACGCAGTCTCAATTTGGCTCAGGCTGATCTCAAACCTGTGAGCTCAGACAATCATCTGCCTCAGCCTCCCAGAGTGCTAGGATTACAGGCATGAGCGACCGCATCTGTCTGCATTTAAACACTCAATTCAGTGCCCATAGCACAGTGGTTATGGCATCAGCCACATATACTGAAGCTAGAGGATTTGAACCTGGCCTGGGCCAGCTAAACAACAATGACAACTGAAACAAAAAATAGCTGGGCATTGTGGTAGGCGCCTGTACTGCCAGATACTTGGGAGGCTGAGGCAAGAGAATAGCCTAACCCCAAGAGTTTGAGGTTCCTGCGAGCTGTGATGCCAGGGCACTCTACCGAGGGTGGCATAGTGAGACTCTGTCTCAAAAAAATAAATAAAATAAAAAATAAACAAATAGGCTCGGTGCCTATAGCTCAACCAGCTAAGGTGCCAGCCACGTACACCTAAGGTGGCGGGTTCGAATCCCCAGCCCGGACCCACCAAAACAACAATGACGGCTGCAACCAAAAAATAGCCGGGCGTTGTGGCGGGCGCCGGTGGTCCCAGCTACTTGGGAGGCGGAGG